ACACACACACACACACACACACACACACACACACACACACACACACATTTTGAAGCCAGAGCAATAAATGACAGACTTCTCCTGGACCTCTTTGAAAGGTCCTTTTTCCTTCCTTCCTTTGTCCTGTCAATGCCCCTTCTGTTTGACCAAATCAAACATCCAGTCATATTTTTTTTATCCTCTCAAATACATTTTTTTTAAAATTCCATGTCTTGCTCTGTGGCCAGCTCATGAATATGGCCTGGATAACTCTAACTGTTTTCTCTGGACAAGGGCTGGGGGGACCTAGGGAAAAATGGATCTTAAAAAATAAGTGAGGTGACTATCACTAAAAAGTGGTGAGATTCTATTCAATTGGTAAAAATGATAAAAGAAGAAAAAGACAGATGTAGGCAGGGCTGAAGGAAAATGGGCACACTGATATACTTTTGATAAAACTACAAATTGGTCCAATCATTCTGGAAAACAATTTGGAACTATACCCAGACATGTCACCTAACTGTGCATACCCTCTGACCCAGCTATACCACTACTAGGCTTATACCCCAAATAGATTAAAGAAAGAGGAAAAAGACCTATATGAACAAAAATATTTGTAGCAGCTTTTTTATAGTGACCCCAAAATGGAAATTAAAGGAGTGCCCATCTATTGGGAAATAACTAAACAAATAATGGCATATAAACGTAATGGAATATTATGGTACCCTAAGAAATGATGAAATAGACAGTTTCAGAGTAAACTGGGGAGCCCACTATGAATTTTTCCAGAGTGAGTGAGCAGAATTAGGGAGAACAATTTATACAATGATAACATCATTCTAGAGAAAAAATAACTTTGAATGAGTTTAGAACTTTAATCAAAGCAGTGATTTATCATGAGTCCAAAGGACCAAGATGAAATGTACAATCCACCTCCCACCAGAGAAGCGATGGACTTAAAATTAAGAATGAGACCTATATTTTTGGATGTGGACAATGTGGGGATTTGTTTTGTTGGACTTTTTGTATTTATTATGAAGGGGTTATTTTTTTAAAAAATTATTCAATGGGGGAGAATTGAGAAAGATAATAAATGCTTATAAAAATAATGATATTGAGATATTCAGGAATCCCCACTGCACCCATATCCTGAAGTAATCCCACAATTCTACTATGAGGATTGAATGAATTCTTCATGATCATTGAAAAAAAAGCATTACTGGGGCTTATAGATGGATCTGAGAAACCTGGGAAGCCTAGACTTCAGTGGTTCTCTTGTGGGGAAGTCAGAAACCTGAGTTGGTCATCTTTGGGAAAGAAAATTTGGCAAGATATGGATGAAAGAGTGATGGTTCTCCTAGCTTCCTGGCAGGGATGAGGAGAGCAGAGACAGCTAAGACCGATATTGGTGCCAGCTGCTGAAAGACACACTGACATCTTGAAGAAATTATAAAACATCTTGTCTCAGCCTGACATGTTAAATCCCTGTCCTATGCACTCTTTTTTTTTTTCAATCTTTCATCACTAACATTATAATCAAGCAATCGACCAACAAGCACTTATTAAATACCTGTTTGCCAGGCCCTGTACTTCCTGCCTGGGGATACAAATTTAAGGAATGAAACAATCCTAACTTGAAAGGAGCCTACATTTTCTTGGTGGAGATAACAAGGTCATATGTAAGAATATACAGAATAAATACAAATAAATTGGTTGGTTCATTGATTGTTGTCCTTTGTTCTTAAGAGGACCAAAATGGCATCACTATGTTGGGGTCAAGGTACAGTGTGTTTGACTGTGGCTGATCAGAGCAATATGAAGGCTCTACCAATGGTTGGGCACAAATAGTCCATGTGAACATTTGGGGTGGATTCTCTAAATTTATGCATCTTGTGTTTCTTTTGAGATACTTCAATTCTGCTTCACTAATAGAGCGCAGTGCTTTCTTTGAGGTGGGCAAGTCACGCTGAGTGGTCCTGGGCCAGTTTTTCCCATGTCACACAATCGATTCCAAAGTTCATTAGAAAAGGACTTGAGAGTGTCCTTATATTGCTTCTTCTGACCTCTATGTGAGTGCTTGCCTTGTTTGAGTTCTCCATAAAATAGTCTTTTAGTCAAATGTACTTTTGGCATTTGAACAACATGGCCAGCCCAGAGGAGTTGTGCTCTCTTCAGGAGAGTTTGAACACTTGGCAGTTTAGTTTGAGAAAGAACCTCAGTGTCCAATACCTTATCCTGCCAGGTGATCTTCAGAATCTTTCAAAGACAATTCAGATGGCAACGATTCAGTTTCCTGGCATGGCACTGGTAGACCGTCCAGGTTTCATGACATACAACAATGAAGTCAGCCCAACAGCTCTGCAGATTTTCCATTTGGTAGGCAGCCTAAATAAATAAATACAAATAAATAAATACCAAGTAGTTAAATATGAAGTAAAAAGTGAAGTTCTCACATGAAAGAGATTTTAAAGGTTTTTTACCCTACCTCCCTACTCCCATTTAACAGATAAAGAAACTGAGGCCCAGAGAAGCCTCAGAGTATCCAAGGCAGGATTGAAATGCAAGCCCTCTGACTGCTAAACCAATGAATAAATGCTCTTTCTACTGCCTAGAATTGCTTCATTTAATCTCTTGTTTCTCCTACTTCTTTTGGCAACCAAATCTTCATCCCCTCTGCCTTTTCCCCATGAGACTAATCACCATTTGCAAAGAATTGTCCAAGGTCCCAGCCAATGTGGATGTCCAATAAATAGCTATTAGTAGTAGTAATAAAATAATAATAATAATAACAATAATAACAATAATTAACCCCATAATAACAGTAGTGACAATCGGCCATTCCTATGGCACTTAAGGTTGGCAAATCAGGACACGTACAAGAGCTCATTTGATCCTCACAACAACTGCTGTAACCTAGGTACTATGATTATTCCCACTTTATAGAGCAAGAAACTAAGGAATAGAGAAGTTAAGTGACTTACAGCCAGTCATGTGGTGTTAGAAGTAGCATTCGAACCCAGATCTCGCCTGCTTCAAGTCCAGCTCCGCACAGAACTAAGTCAGCAGAGAATGTGCTTAAAAACACTGATGCCACAATATATTTGCAAGATTTGTGTATCTTGAGGGCTGTCAAGGGTGGAGGGGAAGGGGAAGATTTCCCCATCAAAAAGGATTGGCTTTTTCCTTTCCAATCGGCTGAGGTGCCCATGAGGAGGGCTCTAAGCAGTCACGGTGCCCAGCTGAAATGGCATGATTCTGAAGCCCCATTTCCACAAAGACTGGCAGAGACGAGTTGCCACATGGTTTAACCAGCCAGCCAGGAAAGCCTGTCAAGCAAAAACACGTCAAATTGCTCCTCTCCCTGCATCTGGTCCTATCTGGTCCATCGTGAGGCTCCCTACTGTCCGATACCACACCAAAGTATGTGCTGGTAGAGGATTCAGCCTGGAAGAGCTTTGGGTGGCTGCTATACATAAAAAAGTGGCATGGACCATGGGTATCTCTGTGGACCCTCATCGCCAAAATAAGTCTACAGAGTCTCTCCAGGCAAATGCGCAGTGGCTGAAAGAATATCGTTCCAAACTGATCCTCACAAGGAAACCATCTGCATCCAAGAAGGGAGATAGCTCTGCTGAAGAGCTCAAGTTGGCAACCCAGCTTACAGGACCAGTTATGCCCATCAGAAATGTCTATAAGAAAGAGAAAGCTCGAGTCATCACTGAAGACGAGAAGAATTTCAAGGCATTTGCTAGTCTTTGAATGGCCCGGGCCGATGCCTGGCTCTTTGGAATCTGGGCAAAATGAGGCAACGAGACTGCAGAGCAATATGTGGAGAAGAAAAAGTAAAAAGCCTCTGAGAACTTTCAATAAAATAATACAAAATTTAAAAAAAGGATTTGCTTTTTCTTAACTTTGTTTGGTCTTTTTTTTTCAGTAATGTCCAACTCTTCATGACCCCATTTAGAGTTTTCTTGGCAAGGATACTGGAGTGGTTTGCCATTTCCTTCTCCAGCTCATTTTACAGATGAGCAACCTGAAGCAAACAGGGTTAAGTGACTTGCCCAGGGTCACACAGCTAGTAAGTGTCTGAGGACAGATTTGAACTCAGGTCCTCCTGACTCCAGGGTCTATCCACCATGCCACCCAGCTGCCTTGCAAGTGCTTTCTTCTTCAAAGGCCTTATTTTATATACGATCAACCAGGATGCCACTCTTATGGGATAAGAGTATTGGTGAGTTCTAGAACTCTCTGTTTCCTGCCAATTTCCCTAAAAGGTGTTGATATCTCATGTTTTGATGCTTCAGTGGACCAAGGACCTCATCAATGTTGGCATTTTCTTCATTGGTTTGAGTCACACCCAACCATCTGAAGGAACTCTCATCTCATGTGACCAGTCCATATCCTCCCATGGATCTACTACAAAAGAGCTGCCCAATGGCTAGAGGCTCTAGAGGCTCTAGAACTTTTGATGATATCTAGGTTATGCAGAGGCTAGAACACTGCAACTGGAGTCAGGAAGACCTGAGTTCAAATCCCAGTTATGTGTGGATACAAAATTATCTCAAATTGGGAAGGGCAAGGTATAGCTCAGGGTTTGAATGTGAACTTGTCCTTGCTCTGAGACATACTGGGGCCATTTGCAGGAATTTTGTACTAATCAGGTCCAGAAATAATCATGAGATAAATCAAGGTCAATCAATCAGTCAATCAGTAAGCATTTATTAAGCGCCTACTATGTGCTAGGCCTTGTTCTAAGCACCGGGGACACAAAGAAAGGCAAGCATGTGATTCCTGCCCTCAAGGAGCTCCCATCCAATGGAGAAGACAAGATGTCTATAAATACCAGTTATATGCAGACTAGGTAGAAGGTAACTTTAGAGGGGCAGGGCCTGGAAGTTGGAGGGGACTAGGAAGGACCTCTTGCAGAAGGTGGTGTTTGGGCTGAGTCTTGAAGGAAGCCATGGATTCTGAGGGGTGAGGAAGGATGGCATTCTGGACATGGGGGGCATGCAAAGGCACGAAGAGGGGAGAGTTAAAGGAACATTGAGGAAAAGCATTATTCACTAGAAGGGGAAGAAGTTATTTCTTCCTGAGGCTCACCACGGCCCACGTCAGATCAGCCCTGTGTCTGCTCTCCTGCTGAGAAAACCATGTGTCTGGATACTGTAGGCTTCAGGGCCAATGACAAATGACTCTCACATTGGAAACCAGTTTAGAGCCCCTGGAGCTGGGTTGTGGGGTGGTGAGGGGGAGGAGGCGGTTCCCCACTGGTGGCGAAGATGGTTGGTCCTATTGGCTGAAACCAGGTTTCTCTTGGTTCTCAGGTATTGACCTCCCCCACTGTGAGCCGGAGCACAGAAGTTATTTCTTCTCTTGAAGGGATGATGCTTAAATAAATCGACAGGTAAATAGGGCACAGAACATTCAGAGTCAAAGAAAGCTTTCTTTCAAAGTGACAGAGGTTGGGGGTCAGCCTGAAAGTGTGTGTGGGAACAGACTCTTGCATGTACTTTCTCAGGAAAAAGCTCTGGGAGCCCAACCTATCTCAAAAACAATTTGGAATTATATGAGGAAGATTACTACAGTGTATATTACACACCCTTTGACCCAGCATTCTCAGTAGTGGGCATAGACTCCAAGGAGGTCAAGGACAAAAAGAAAGGCCCCATATATACCCAAATGTTTGAAGAGATACTTTTTTTGCAAGCAAAAAAACCAGGGGTCTTCTCAGCTGTTAGTTTTTCCTCCCCACAAATTACGTTGCATCTATCTGTATCTATCTTATTTCAGGCATATCCAATCCTTCATGATCCTATTTGGGGTTTTCTTGGTAGATACTGGAGTGGTGTGCCATTTCCTTCTCTGGCTTATTTTACAGATGAGGAAACTGAGGCAACAGGGTTAAGTGACTTGTTCAGGGTCACACAGCTGATAAGTTTCTGAGATTTGAACTCAGGAAGACTCGTCTTCCTGACTCTAGGCCTGGTGCTGTATCCATTACAGTGCCCCCTAGCTGCATCTACCTTATATATGACTATAAATGTATGTTTCAGCTGATAGAATGTAAATTCCTTGAGGGTGAGCCCTCACCAGCTCTTACCATAGTGGTTGACACATAGTAGGTTGATTATTACTGATTGAATGCCCATCCACTGGAGGAAGGGCTGAAAAATTATGGGATGTAAATGTCATAAAATATTATTAAGCTGATAGAAAAGGCAAATATGAAGAATTCAGAGAAACATGGGCATCAAGGTGATACAGTGAAAGAGTGCAGGACCTGGAGTCAGGAGGACCTGAGTTTGAATCTTGACTCAGGTCTTTACCAGTTGCGTGGCCCTAAGCAAGTCACTTAACTTCTCTTTGCCTCAGTTTCCTCATCTATAAAATGAGAATAGTAATAGCACCTTCCCCACAGGATTGTTGTGAGGATGCAATGAGTTAAGATATATAAAGCACTTTGCAAATCTTAAAGTAATACACAAATGCTAGTGATTAGCCACCTAATTATGTGAAAGGACTTGTATGAACTGATGCACAGTGAAGAAATTAGAACCAGGAGAACAATATATACAGTGATTATAATAACGTAAACCACTTGAAAAGGCAATTCAACTCTTAATCACTCAAGCAATCAACAATCAATCAAGTACTAAATGCCTGCTATGAGCTGGGCAAGGTACTGGATGTTGGGGATAGACGGGCAGACAGATCAGTTCCTGCCCTCAAGGGGCTTGCAACTCAGCTCAGAATAAATGCAATGGCCTTGGAGTCAGGAGGGCCTGAGTTCAAATCCCGACTTCAGACACTTAACAGTTACTACTACTAGCTATGTGATCCTGGGCAAATCACTTAATCCCGATTGCCTCACCAAAAAGCAAAAAAAAAAAAAAAAAAAGGGAATAAATGTAATGACCAATATTGAATCTGGAAGGAAGATGACCATGGATGCCAAATATAATAGCTATGAACAGATACGATGGCTGTGTTAGTTGATTTTGTTTGAATTTTTCCTCATTACAAGGAAGAATTCTGAGAAGTGTGTGCAGAAGGGTAGATGGGAAAATAATTGTGACATAAACGTAAAGACATTCATAAAAACAATTTATAGGGAAAGAAAAGCTTTTTGAGAAATTCCTAAACCAATTCATGGCCTCTCAACCAATTCCAAGACAATCTGCCTTCAGGCACTCTCTGGGGTGGAGTGAGGGAGTGAGTGGGTGAAGGGGTGAAGGAGTGATGGGGTGACTGAGGGGGTGGAAGCATTTTCCATTTTTGATCCACTTTTTACTTCTCATTTATTCTTAGACCCTCCACCCCTCATGCTGAGCAAAGATGTGCCCATTGGCTGAAGGGCAGAAGCTTGCCTGCCCTCTGACTGTGAATCACCAAGGCATCCTCCTGCTTAGCAGACTCAAGTCTCTCTGAGGAAGTTAGCAGCTGCTGAGTCTTCTTTCTGTTTCAAACATTGAAAGAAAGGAAACCAATAGACTCACTTAAGGCTGGGCAGGGGACTCATGGGAATGGATTCAGCTCTCTGAACTCTGGGGATCTGTCCTCTCCCCACCTGAAGGACTTGCTGGGTAGCCAGGGCTTTGCCATCCATGTATAAAGTATTATCTTATCCATGTTAGGGGAGGGAGAAGAAGGAAAAGTGGGGGGAAGGAGTTCAAAGTCTAGAATTAAGAAGTATGGGGAGGTAATAAAGCTGAGGAATTAGCAATGCCACTGGAGCTGAGACCAGGAGTAAGAAAGGTGGGCAGCTGTCCAAGGGCACAGTGAGAGGGAAGGGGCAGGCCAAAAAGGGACAATTTTTCATATTTGTGAAATAATGCCAGAAAATCCCACATTTCATCAAGCACAGGCATTTAATGTGCTTGGTCTTCCTGGTTCCATACTACTCCTTCTCTAAATCTATCCCTCATTCCAGTACCCAAGTGATCTTTATAATACACTGTTCTGATTACAACACTGTTCCACAAAACAAACAAACCTTAATTAGCTCTCCATTGCCTAAAAAAGAAAGTACAGTCACTTTTGCTGTAATGCTTGTTTTGTTCTAACAGGATTTTGAGTTTACTAATGTACATTTCTTCTAAAGCACTGAGATTCAGAAAGGTGGAAGGCAGCACTTGGCAATAACTCACAAGCTGTAAACCTTCCACAAGCAAACTTTAGATATTTGTCAAGCTAAAGGGCCACAGAGACGCTCTATCTTCTGGTGCGGTAGGAACTGAGGAAGGTGGAGGGCTGGTTCTCATCGAACCTCCTTCCTCCATGGCCTGCAGCCCGGCCAGCTGAGACTTTGCCAGACCAGAGGTGGCCCCTGGCTGGGCCGCAGACAGCCAGAGGCCAAGGACACCACCACAGCATATTGTGATATGTGCGTATTTCTTAACCATATAATATGTTTAACACTGTGCTACTTTTTTTTTTAATGTATCTTAGAGTGTTGTGCCCCTAACTTCATTTTCTCCATGAACCCTGTGGTTCTTATCTTGTGATTTTGCATAGCTCAATACTTAATATGTTACATTATAGTAGAAGTAACCGTAAAGACTCCTTAGTCTGGCATTCAAGGCTTTCTAATATTATTATTCATTACTGAAACTGACCAATATACAGCTATAAGGTTTTTTCCCTTAAAAAAAACAGACTCATTAATGTAATTTAAAGTATTATTCCATTTTTTTCTTTTTTGTACTGTAATATTAATTTCTTTTTACTGGCATAATTATATATGTGAAGTTCAATAAATAAAATATTCCATTGGCATTGCTTTTTTTGGCCATTATTACCATGTTTCACTTCCCGATTATTATTTTGCCACATAAAAGGAGGGATTGTTAAAAAATTATTTACTCTGGGTATCAAATAAACTGGGTACACCTCTGTCCCCTTGCTTACGGGTCTCTTTGATCCCATAAACATTTTTATAATTAGTAACTCTCTAAGTAGCAACTTTTCTTAGGCATTTGAGATGGATATGGAAGGAAGTCCTGGGAATCTTAATTCCCCTAGTGAGAAGTCAGGCGCCCCCCAAACAGAGAACCCAGTGCACAAATACATGACTGGTTACCGAAGGGGCGTACCGTGAGCCCCTGGGAGACCTTACCATGGCTGAGTAGCTAGGCCCGATGCTAGGCTAGTTACAAATGAAATCTGTGTTGTAGCTAGCTGGTATCCCCGGTGTTTTGCATACAGTAGGTATTTAATATATGTTGAACTGTCCCATTGAGTTCAATTGAAATTGTACGTGTCAAAACAGAGGCTTCGAGCCTCCAGGGGACATGCTGAATGTAAAATTTTCAGACCTCGCCTAGGGTATACAAATACCTTTTCTCAGCTCTGAGTATGGCTGCAGTTAATCCCCAGACCCCATTTCCCGTGATTAACTGCTCCCAAAGGGTTTCCTTTCTTGGCTGTTAACCCCTTTGCTAAGCTGAATAAAAGCCCCTCAGTGCATTGCCTTCACTGTGAACCCCCGGACTCCTTGAGCAGCACAGGGCTTGTGTTATAGTCCAGGTGAAAAACGTTCAGATTTTCTTCCCAAGTCTTTCTGGTTCCATCAGGCAGAATATTTCCTGGTCTGCATCTCCCATCTCTCCTTTCTGGCCTGCCCCTGACATTGAGTCAGAGAAACTGGGTTCACATTCCACTTTTGATAGTATCTGTGTGACCCTGGACAAATCACATAACCTTGGACCTCAGTTTCCTCATTTTATAAGACAAAAGGGTTGGTCTAGATGGCCTCTGAGATCCCTTACAGACCTGGCTCTAGAATCCTATGATAATTAGAATTACATAAAGCAGAAACTTCAGCTGATTGCTGTCTCCTGAAGATGACCTCTGGGATAAGAAACCGGTCAAACTCCCTGAGTAGGACCTTGTCCCTCCCTAAGAAAACATCTGACCTCCCAGGGCTGAAGGTTGGCTTTGACCTCCCTGCTGCCCTCACCAGTGGAACCAGGAGTCCCAGGTCATTGTGGACTCCTTGCCCTGGCCTCAATTCCTATCATACAGGGAGATCATTGACGAGATCCCTGTTTATAACTCTTATCTGCCCCCTCCCATACATCATGGTACAGTATAAAGAACACTAGTATTGGAAGCAGAGGACCTGGGTTCAGATCTCACTTCTGATGTTTATTACCTGTGTGACCCTGGACAAATCCCTTAACCTATCTGTGCCTCAGTTTGCTTACCTGAAAAAATGAGGGGATGAGACTGGATGGTCTCTTCCATATTGAAATCTATCATTCTCTGAAGTCACTTAACCTTCACGGGCCTCAGTTTTTTCATTTGTAAAAGGAGAGGGTTGGACAAGATTATCTCTGAGTTTCCTTTTAGCTATAGACCTCTGGTGTATAAGCCTACAAACAAGTCCCACTTTGGAAGTGTGAGTCCTAGCCCAGTGGGAGGGAGGTCAGTCGACTACCCTAGCATGGAGCTGTAAGTTCCCTGTTACTCTAAGGGACTTGGTGGGCTGCCCTAATTAGAGGTGCTTTTCCCATCACAGTGTAAGGAGCTCATTGACATTCCCTAGTGCCTTTCCCTGGTTGTTTCAGCTCCCAGCTCCCTTGGGTGTCTCCAGTGAAGTCTCCTGCCTTTCTGGCAAACTCCAAATACAAAGGCTTACTTTCAGTCCTGACTGTCTCGTTGAGTTCTGAAAACAGTTTCTTTTTTAGGCTTCAAATCCACTCCAGAAGAATCTCTCTAGAAGCTGAGGGGATGCCAGGCTTCTTGGGTGTGGTAGGAGAATGGGCCCTGGCTGCATTCTTTTGAATGGACTTTTTGACTTAAGTCACGGGTCATCCTCCCTCATAGCAGCCCCAGGGATCGAAGGCTCATTGACCCAGAGCTGAAAAGGACCTTAGAGACCACAAGTCCAAATTGTTGTTGTTCACTCATTTCAGCTGTGTCTGACTCTCTGTGACCCCAATTGGAGTTTTCTTGGCAGAGATACTGGAGTGGTTTGCCATTTCCTTCTCCAGCTCATTTTACAGATGAGAAAACTGAGGCAGGCAGAGCAAGGTCACCCTGCTAGTAAGTGCCTGAGGCCAAATTTGAACTCAGGTCTTCCTGACTCTAGGCCTGCCGCTTGGCTGTCCATCAACTCCAATACCCCTTCTTTTACAGAAGAGGAAACTGAGACCCAGGGAGATTAAGTGACTTGTCTACTTAATGTAATATAGGGAGTAAATATCAGAAGTGGGATTCAACCCAGTTTCTCTTTCTCCAGAGCCAAGCTTCAGAGGGAGAAACAAAGCTGAGAGTGAAAGTGCATTGTAGGTCTATAGCCAGACTGTATGGAAGTCCTTTTCAGATTTGGGCAAATCTTCAGTATCTAAGGGGTAAATAACAATAGCAATGAGATGGGAGGGCACGACCCATTTAGACTATAAGTGGACATTGTAAAAGATGAGCCCCTTTCCGATCTGAGTGGATCATTTTGTACCTTGCAAAGGATGTAAAACTTTGAGTAGATTCACATGCCTGCTTCATGCTCACGAATGGGGAAAAAGGATAGGAAACTTTGAGTAGCTCCTTTGCTATTTGTCTGGGAAAGCAGCTTAGCAGCCTTCACCAAAGGTCAGCAAAGACCCTCCCCTTACCACTCTACCTCCTACCTCCCCATTCATTTGCATGGACTATCAGGAAAGACTTAGAATTTCCAACAGTCACAATAACTAGACAGCTCTGAACTTCAATACTCTTTGGTGATGACTGGCACCAGACACCTTCCAGGCAAGCATCCCAGGGGCCAAGTTTCTGTATTTGGGTGAGTGGGTATCTCAGCACACTCAGAGCTTGGATGCCTTGCAAAAGCATCCATCAGACTGGATTGTCCTAAGCTAGAGCCCCAGACTGCTTCCAGGTGTAGGTGATAATATGGGATGAAACTATCTGAAATCCTATAGGTTTAACTAGGGAAGATGGCCAGAATTAATTTTTCCCTTTGACTAGATGGGGTGGGGGACTGGGAAAGTGAGTTCTCATATTGAATCAGAGGTGGGAGCCTGGCAGCTGCAGCAGTTGGGACCATGATAGTCAATCAACCTGGGTGGGATGGAGAGACAGCCGTGGAACAAAATGTGCCCTTCTACTCTGCCAGCCTCCTATGACTGTTGGGAAGATCCAGTGAATTTATTTATGTGATCCTGGGTCTTGCAGCATCATGTTCTGGGCAGACCCCATGCAGATCCCAGATTTCCAAGTTGTCTGCATCAATGGGGTTGGGACTGCTGAGGAGGTAGCAACTTTAGCCTAAATATTTGAGCCTTCCATCTCAGATTAGGTTTCATCTACTCTGAACATAGCTTGAATGTATAATTTTGGTGCATGTTGCCACCTCTGTTAGAATGTGAGCTACTTGAGGGTGGGAATGATGGTTTTGCCAGTTTTTTTGTATCCCCAGTGCTTATCACAGTATCTGGCATATAGTAAGACTTAATAAATGCTTCTTCTTATTAAGAGATCAGAGATGAGGAATACTCTGGGAAGAATGCACATACCTTGGTATTCTGGGAGGAAAGTTATCTTTGGACACATATGACTGTGCATGTATCTAAGACCCTTTGAATTCTCCCATACTCCTGGACAGATGAATATATAAGAATGAGTTTGAACTCATCCCCCTTACATTTTATCTTTAAAGCTTTGACTAGAGAGAACGTATTTTAACCAATCAAAAGACCTTGGATAAAGTGTTAAAAAGTCTCCAAAAACCATTGGATAAAGTAAAGTGATGCCAGACAGGAAGTCTATTCTAATACTAAGAAATTTGGTCATGATCTTGAGGACATCTATAAATTATCAAGTGAGTTGAGAAAGGATTGATTCTAAAAACTGGGGTGAGCCTGGCATTCTAGCTGAACTTCCTAGAGAAGGAACAAAATGGAGGGAAGGAGAAGGTTCAGCTTTGGCCTTAGCCAAGTTTCTTTCCCTCCTCCTTTTGGCTGGAGTAGGGTCTTGCAAACTTTGAAGGGTCAGGAAAAGGGGATGTTGGACCTCAAATCTATTCATCAGTGTGCTAGCTGCATTCCAAGATCAGCTTGATAGCGTTGTCTGCATTGGGAGCCAAGGACAGATGCACAAAGATTTCCCTAAACTTGAGCCTACTTTCCATTGGACTCTGAATGTACATGTGGGAGAGTGTGTCACAAATTTTAGAGGAGATATTTTGTACTAATTGTTCTTTTTTTGTTTTTGTTTAAATTTATTTAGCATTTTATTTTCCCCAGTTACATGTGAAAACAATTTTTAACATTTGTTTTTAAAACTTTGAGTTCCATATTCTCTCCCTCCCTCCCTCCCTCTCACCTCCCCTCCCATTGAGAAGGCAAGCAGTTTGATATCGGTTATACATGTGTAGTCATGCAAAACATTTCCATAATAGTCATGTTGTGAAAGAAAACAGACCAAGAAAAAAAAAACCCTCAAGAAAAATAAAGTAAAAAAAAGTATGCTTCAATCTGTATTCAGACACCATCAATTCTTTCTCTGGTGATGGATAGCATTTTTCATCGTAAGTCCTTCAGAGTTGTCTTGGATCATTATATTGCTGAGAATAACTAAGTCATTCACAATTGATCATCTTACAATATTGCTGTTACTTTGTAGAGAGTACATTTCACTTTGCATCAG